TTCCGCCCGCCTCGTCAGGTGGACCTGACGAATTTTCTCCGCATCGCTATCGCTACAAAGAATATACAGTGCTCGCTGGCGCTCGCGCTATCGCGGACATGTAGAGTATACAGTCAAACATGCACCGACAATTATCAGAAGAACAATGCAATGGCAATCAATCTCAGAGCAATCCAGTATTATTAAGTGTGGCGCGCGCCGCGACCACAACAGCCGACGGCGCTCCCGCGCCGCGGTAAGGCGCTGCACGGAGACGCCCCCCTGCGGCCATCCGATGGTCGCGCTCGTACGCCAGTGTTTTCGCGGGTGATCGCGCATGCTCACTTTGAGTCAGCGCCGCGCACGTGGTCCCGCGATTCGCGAGGCAACAGTATAATCTTCGTGAGCGGTCGCTTTAACGTCGCCGTGGCCGTGGTCACCGTGACCACCCGAACGCGTCCGTCATCCCCCGGGTGGATGGCAGTGATCCGAGCGAGTGGCCACTTTGCTGGCGATGTGGTCTCGCTGCGCACCAGGCACAGCTGTCCCACCTGCGGGGCCGGTGCCGAGGTCCACCACTTGGGCCGATGAGCCAGCGAGTGCAAGTATTCCTGCGACCATCGGCGCCAGAAGTGTTCACGCATTTGCTGAACGTGCTGCCAGCGTGACAAGCGATTCACCGGCACGTCCAACAAGGATCGCTCAGACAGGGCCAGTAGAGGCCCTCCAATTAAAAAATGACCCGGGGTGAGGGCTGCCACATCCTCCGGGTCGTCAGACAGTGGGCAGAGCGGGCGGGAGTTGAGGCATGCTTCGACTTCAGCCAGAAATGTCGCCATCTCCTCGTACGTAAGGGTGCTGTCGCCGAGCACCCGTCGCAGGTGATGTTTGAGCGACTTGACCGCTGCTTCCCACAAGCCGCCGAAGTGAGGTGCTGCCGGTGGATTGAAATGCCACTGTATGCTTTCATCGGCCAGCGCCTGTTCGATGCGTCGTGCGTCCCGGGATCCGTCGTCGAACATCGCCCTCAGTTCCGCCTCAGCACCTACAAAATTCGTACCTCGATCGCTGTACATGGCCTGGGGTGATCCTCGTCGAGCGACGAAGCGCCGCATGGTCGCCAGGAACGCCTCAGCTGTGTAATCAGACACGACTTCCAGGTGGACTGCTCGGGTGCTAAAACACACGAACACGGCAATGAAGGCCTTGCTTGCCTTGTGACCACGACCCCTGGAGGAACGCAGCATCACTGGTCCGGCGTAGTCGACCCCTGTGTGACTAAACGGACGTGACGGAGTCACCCGTGGCTCAGGTAAGTCGCCCATCAGCTGTTGGGGAGTGGCCGCCCGCCATCGCGTGCATTGGATACAGCGCTGGATGTGACCCTTGACCGCGCTCCTTCCACTTGGCACCCAGTACCGTTGCCGCAGCAGCCCCAACGTTTGTTGCACACCACCATGGTGGGTGCGTGAATGGCACGAGGCCACGATGAGTGCAGTGAGTGTGGAGTGCCTGGGCAAAATAGCGGGATGCTTCTCCTCGTAGGCGAGTAGAGAGTGTCTTATTCTGCCTCCGACTCGCAACACGCCCTCAGCGTCGATGAATGGGGTGAGTCTGCTCAACGAATTGCTCCGTGTCAGCTCTTGCCCATTCTGGATAACCTCAATTTCCTTGCCGTAGGTATTGGTTTGCACCAGGCGCACCCATGACCCGAGTGCGTCCTCCAGTTCCGCGGCCGAGAGTGCAAGGACTTCCTCCTCGGACCTCGCTCGAGTCACCCCGCGTAACCAGCGTCGACACCACGCCGTGATCCTCAGCAGCCGGCTAAGGGTGGAGTATCGAAGCAACATGTCAGACGCCTCGGTCGTCGATTGCGCCACCCCCACATGCTGTCTTGTCCTTGCCTCGGGTAAGTCCTCATCGGTGTTGGTGTCTGCCGTCGCCTTCCAGGGGGCCTCCCCTTCGTGCAGCCACGCAGGACCCCGCCACCAGAGGGGGTGATCAGCCAGGGCCTGCGGCGTCAGGCCACGTGACGCGCAATCCGCCGGATTGTCCTGGCTCGCCACGTGATGCCACTGAGCCTCGAGCAGTGTGGTCTGGATCTCCGCGACCCGATTCGCAACGAAGGTCTTCCACCTTGATGGATGACCTCGAATCCAGCCTAGGGTCACCGTGGAGTCAGACCACAGGTGAGTCGGCAGTGCCTCTAATTGAAGGACCCTCCGCACATGGATGGCCAAGCGGGTCAGCAAGGTGGCCGCGCACAACTCCAACCTAGGTAGAGAAATCTGTTTCAGAGGGGCGACCTTTGTTTTCGCCAGCACCAGATTCGCCGTCCAGTCGCCTCCCCCTCTTCTAACCCGTAGGTAGATAGCCGCGGCGTAAGCTCGCTCGGAAGCATCCGCAAATCCATGGATTTCGGCGGTCTCGCTGTCCGGTGTCCACTGGAGCCACCTGGGAACCCGAATCACCGCCAATTCCGGGAGCTCGTCCAGGAAGTCCCGCCACGTGGAACAGCTGCTGGTCGGCAATGGGGCGTCCCAATCCAGACCCTGCAGCCAGGTGCCCTGAATAAAGATTTTTGCTCGTACCACGACCGGGGCAAGCCACCCCAGTGGGTCGAACAGTTGTGCAGACTGAGAAAGGACCGATCTCTTCGTGACAGGTCCGGATGCTGTCATCCTGATGTCGAACGAGAACGAGTCCTTGGTCGGATGCCATTGGAGGCCCAGAGTGGAGTGACTGGCGTGGGGCAGCCATGCCCGCACGCCCGGGAGCGCCAAGTCATCCACCGCGATGTCCTTCAAGAGTATCTCCTGATTGCTTACCCATTTTTTCAGGAGAAAGCCGCCCGCCTTGCAGAGCTCTCGTGTCTGAGCTATGATCTGTCGGACCTTCCCTCTGGTGTCAGCTCCCGTCAGGACGTCGTCGACATAGGTGTCCCGGCGGAGCACGCTCGCACCAATCGGGTACTTCCCCGACTCATCGTCCGCCAACTGACGCAGCGTCCGTATGGCCAGGTAAGGGGCACACGCTAAGCCGTAAGTCACGGTGTTCAGACGAAAGTCTGAGAGCTCGCCAGTGTCAGCCCGCCAAACAATCCGCTGCAAGTCCCGATCCAGTGGATGTACCCAGATCTGGCGGTACATCTTTTCGATGTCAGCCGCCACAACGTACCGATGACATCGCCACCTCAGCAACACGTCAGCCAGTGGAGGCAGCAGATTCGGGCCCACGAGCAGTCGCTTGTTGAGCGAGTCCCCTTTCGCTCCCGGAATGGCCGCGGAGCCGTTGAACACGACGCGCAGCTTAGTCGTGCTGCTCGATTCCTTCATCACGCCATGGTGCGGCAGGTAACACACTCGCCCCTGCTCGTTTGCCGGCCCGGCCCGCGACATGTGCCCCAGCTGCTCGTATTCTGACAGGAATTGCTCATACCCTTGTTTCAGATGTGGCTGTTGCTTGAATCGTCGTTCCAGTCGGGCGAGCGTTTGTAAAGCGACTCCCCGCGTCGATGAGCAATCCGGGAGTGGCAGGATCGTTGGAAGTCGCACACAGTACCGGCCGTCCGGTTCGCGCGTGTGCGTACTGACGAACCGTTCCTCACATTCGCGTTCCTCTCTGGTGAGAGAGGCGTCCGGCACAGTTATCTCCTCCTGTTCCCAGAATCGCTTGACCAACGCCGCCAATGGTTCCCCGACCGAGCATTGGTGTAGCATCGTTGTCGCGTGTGAGGTCACCGGGCCAGCAATGCCAGAGACGATCCATCCCAGCGCGGTTCGTTGGGCGATTGGCTCGCGTGCTCCTCCCCTTCGGATCCCGGTCTCAAGGATCTCGGCGTAAACGTCGGCTCCGAGTAGCACCTCGACGTTGTCTGCCGACATGTAGTCCGGATCCGCCAGCTCGAGGCCCCTGAGATGCGACCACTCTGCCATCGCCAGGCTGCTAACGCCCGCGTAAATTGTGAGTCGCGGAAGCACGATCGCGGACACCGAGAATGTGCGGCCTCCGTTAGTTGGGGAAATCTCGAACTCCACGCGCCCGTTCGCCACGTTGATCTGTCTGCCCCCCACGCCAAAGATCGCGATAGACGCTCTCGTCCGTGAGAGTCTCAGACGCTGGGCGAATGCTTCGGTCACGATGGACGTCTCTGAGCCTTGGTCCACTAACGCACGTGTGGAATGCATCTCGCCGAACCTATCGCGAGCTTGAATTCGCGCTGTCGCGAGTAGCACAGCGCAGCGGCCCTCTGACTGCCGCTGCGCGACGAGGGTTGACACAACGTCGTTGCCTACAGCTGGAGCCGCTTCCACCGCGCGCGACCGGCATGCTTCATGAAGCGACGAATGATGCCGCCCCTCGCATACCGTACAGTTCCGTTTCGACTTGCACTCACTAACCTTGTGTTTCCCTAGGCAGTTCAAGCACAACTGAGTGTCCTCTACGAAGCGCTTCCTGTCCCCTGCCGATTTCCCGCGGAAGGTATCGCACATCATCAGGAAGTGATCCTTTCGACACAACGTGCATCGTTCCTTCTGCTTCTTGGATGGTTCGGCCTGAACATGATGAGACTGGGCAGCTCGTACGGACTCACCCTTGCTCGGGTGCAATGCCTCCAAGGTGTGTGAGCGTTGTTCCAAGAAGGCCAGCAGCTCCTTGTGCGTCGGGGGGTCTGCCGACGCCCCGATCGAATTCTCCCACTCCCGCCGGGAGCGAGGATCCAGCATTTCAACAGTGAGAAACACGAAGAGGTCCTCACTGCTGGTGATGGGTCGCCCAATGCTCTCCAGAGCACTGACCGTGCTGGTCATGTGATGGAAGAGCTTGCGCAGCTCCGAAGGCGACTCAGTCTTCATTTTCGGCAAGGCGGTATATTTGGAGTAAAAGGATCGGACCAAGATACGTGTGTTCTCGTAATGGTTGACCAGCGTCTGCCAGGCACGCTTGAAATTCTTTTCTGTTGTAGGTAAGCTGCTCACCAGAGATTCGGCTTCTCCCTTCAGACTCGTCTTCAAGTAGTGCAGCCTCGTGACGTTGGAGATGGAGGTGTCCGCTACGATGAGTGACTTAAACAGGTCCCGAAATGGCGGCCAGTCCTCATACTTTCCTGAGAAGGTGGGGAGTTGAATCCGAGGTAATGTTGTTCGCGGGGGCGGAGCTGGGCTAGTGTCTCCGGCCTCCCGTTCCTTTTTCACATTCTCCCGCTTCACCTTTTCGTCCCATTCAAGTAATGCTGCTCGTTGGAGCACGTAAACCTCCTCCGTTTGTCCCCAGTAGTCCTGGGTGTAGTACTCCTGGGTCTTCACCGCATCCCAGTGCTGCAAGCGCAGTTTCTCGTGTTGCTCCTCAAACCGAGCCCACTTGCTGTCCAACAGCCGCAATGTGGTTGAGATGAGTGCTCCATTAATCCGCGCGGCGCCTGCCTTTTTGAGGTTGTCGATCGTGCGAGCTATGCGCCCATGTAGCTCTTGCTGAGCCGCGATGATCGACTCCATTTTCTTGTTTCAGTGGTCAAGAATGCCCTTGAACCTGCCCCCTCGCACCGTGTGCACTGCTGGACCGACAACGTCGACGATCCGGCTCGAAGGACCAAAA